TTTGTTATCAAAGGTTCCTATGACAAGGCTTCGGAAACGAGTTGCTACACGGCTGAAAGATTCCCAGAACACGTTTGCTATGCTCACAACCTTCAATGAAGTTGATATGTATGTTTTGTTGATTTTTAAAGTATAGCAAAAGCTATGGTTATTGCTTAAGTTGTATGTTTTCAACCACGTATGCTTAAGTTGGGTCATGGATCTAATGGAACACTGTCTTATAAATTAATGAAGCCCTCAACCCACATGAGAAGCTCTGATATGATACACTGGGAAGTCGTGGGATTTCTGTAATTTTTCTTGTTCTTATTGAGATCAACAAATTTGTGTTCTCTTAAATTTTACTTGCGCACTTGGTTTGTTTTTTTTTTTTTTTTAGAAGATAGGGCATGAATTAACACACATGCATTGGGGTTGAAACCGTTTTCCCTTCTGGGATATATGTTTCACTTTTTTCTCATCTATGCATGTAATATTACATTATGCCACTTTGTTAGTTTCTATGTGATAACATCAGGGGAGGATGTAATTTAGTTATAATGTGTAACTGGTGGATTCCATGTATTTAGTTGGCAATTCTTAATGTTGAGTTTCCTGTCTTGTCCTTATATAGTAGATTACTTTTTTCATTCTTTCCCTTATTGCTCTGCTCTTGATGATAGGACTAATTTGATGAAGCTCCGTTCTGATTATAAGGATGCTTTTGTTGAGAAACACGGAGTCAAGTTGGGGCTTATGTCAGGCTTTGTCAAAGTATGTTTTCTATTTACAGAAGTATACACTAGCTTGGCTTTATCCTTTTTATTTCCTCATACTTTCTATGGTCTACATGTTAGGCTGCTGTGAATGCACTCCAACATCAACCAATTGTCAATGCAGTCATTGATGGGGATGATATTATATACAGAGATTATATAGATATCAGCATAGCTGTTGGTACCCCGAAGGTTTTTACCAGCCACACCTTTAGCTTTTCTCATTTACTTTGTTTATGTAGAGAAATCTATCAATCAATCATTATGCTTTCTCTTGACGAAACTTTGCTATTTTCAATAAACTTGTGTCAACTTTTGTCATGGCTATGGAGCTAATTACCAAGTAGTTAGTATATATTGTTAAGTTTGCATTTTTTGCCTGGCTTTGAAAATTATCAACGTGCTTGTGTTTGAACAATTATTACCCCCTCAATTCCATCCCAGGGCCTTGTTGTTCCTGTTATCCGCAATGCAGATACCTTGAACTTTGCCGATATAGAAAAGCAAATCAATGCTTTTGCTAAGAAGGCAAATGATGGAAGTTTATCAATTGATGAGATGGCTGGAGGCACTCTTACAATATCCAACGGTGGTGTTTATGGCAGCCTTTTGAGTACTCCTATTATCAACCCCCCTCAGGTTTGGAAGTTCAAACAGGATAAAATTCATTACATATTTTTTTTTCTTTAACTCGGTATGACATTCTTTGATATATATTTGAAGTTGTTTCTTTGTTGATGTGACAGTGCTAATTACTTTCCTTCTATCATATTGGTAGCTTCAGGCATTGTTTGCAATTTTATGAAAATGGTCATTATTTGTTACCCACTAATTCACCATAGTTCTGTTTGTTTCACAAAAAGATCATTGTAATTCAAAATATCAAGCTAAATTACTGCCAGTAGTTACTAGTTAAATTTTGTTAATGTTTTTAATGATGCAAATAATTGTTAACAAGTTGTATAATAAACTGAATAATTATTTAGAAAGAAAACTCATGCAGCTATTGTTTTTGTGGCAGTCGGCAATCTTGGGTATGCATTCCATAGTGAGCCGTCCTACGGTTGTTGGAGGAAATATTGTCCCAAGACCATTGATGTACGTTGCTCTAACTTATGACCATAGAATTATTGATGGAAGAGAGGCAGTGTTCTTTCTGCGGCGCATCAAAGATATCGTGGAGGATCCTCGCAGGCTTTTGCTTGACATATAATTTGGATGGAGTAAATTAAACCTCAAAATTCAAATAGCATAATGGGTACCCATTTGTTTGGCTTTTGAATTGCGGCTGCCCGTAATTTATAATCTCTAATGAGCAAACTCTTTAGGATCATACTTTCCGTTCGATATTATTCAGCATGTTTGTGTTTTTTCTGCTCACTATTCCTCTCATTTAATATGAAGAGGGTCACAGTTTTTTGCTCCAAAATTGTATGAAAAAACCCTAAACCTGAAGTAATAATGCGATTTCTTTTCCATCGCACTGTATGCTGCAGTATTTTTATTTTATTTACCCGATGAAATTTCAGATACATCTAATAATTTGTTATCCAAATAATTCTGCCTAAAGCACCACCGTAATTAATTTTGTTACAACTCCTGTGTTATGTTCAACACGGCACAAAATTTCAGTTTACCAACCATCTTTTTGAGCTGTCTACGAGGGAGCAATTTTTACAACGGATGCAAGATCTAGCCAGGCCTTTACATTTGCTGGTCCTGCCGGGAAGCTGGTGAATGTGATGTTAAAAGAGTTCTTAATGGGTAAATCTCGAATAAAACTATCACCATTTATTGAAATCTACCACATTCAAATGAGCTCCAATACTATAAGTTTTATTGTATCGCCTATTGATTGATTGATAAGATTGTGTAAAATCAAACAGATTCCCATACCAAGATTGAATCCATATTACTCTGGAAATTTGATTGGTTAATTTATCAACTGCTAACGACCACTTTGGGGTCACGAAATATCAGATGCAGGCAACAATGTCTGAATAGGCTTTTGTGGTCCTTATATTTGTTTGGACTTTTCAATGTCTTAAAAGGTTTCAATTTGATTCCAATTTTATTTAAAATGAATTTGTAGTCATATATGTTCAATTCATGTTAACTCGGTTGAGAGGAGAGTGGCAATGTCACACAACAGACATTCAACATGGCAGAGAAACGGAAGAGACCCGTAACGGTTCCGTTTCCACAACTCATTAAGGTACTCTATGTTTTCAGATAACATTTAATCTGTGCTCAATACCCACACTTTAAACAAAGTTTTGTGCAATAGAAGCGGTAAGTTAGTTAGATTCTAGGATTAAACTTTATGTTTACGGCAATCCTAAATTTTGAAAGCGGATCATGTTCAAAGGTCTCCAGTTATCAAGGGAAGGTTACATAGGGTGTGTTTAGGAAAACATTACTGTTAACATAATCCAAGATTTTCTCAACACACCCATATACTTGCTTCTTAATTTTCAATTTCGGTGCCTTGCAAATGGAAAACCAAACATGGGTATAATCTCTAAGGAAAACTGAAGATGAGGATTTCTTGTTGGCCAATTTCAGTTTTATTCTGATCAACCGAGTTGCCATTGTTTGCTCTTGTCAAAAGTTATCCTGAACCTCCTTCGATCTCGGAAAGAAAAGCATGGCATAATTCTTTGCCCAATCTCACAAGTCTCCAAAACTAGCTTATAACCACATCTCCAAGTCAAAATCAAGAATTCATTTTTTTTACCTGCTCTCATCTTACGTTCACCACACAAATCAAGGTTTAAGCAATTACACAAAGATGATACAACCTTTATTCATGCTTTTGATTACCCAGATGGCATTAACCTTAGTATTATCTTTTGCAAATCCAATTCGAAAATTGGTGGTGAAGGGTCTAGACCTTTCGAAGCAGGGAAGGGGCCCCTTGGTTACAAAAACTGTGGCAGCAACCATGCTTGTGGTCTTCAGCTCCACCGNTTATTTAGAAAGAAAACTCATGCAGCTATTGTTTTTGTGGCAGTCGGCAATCTTGGGTATGCATTCCATAGTGAGCCGTCCTACGGTTGTTGGAGGAAATATTGTCCCAAGACCATTGATGTACGTTGCTCTAACTTATGACCATAGAATTATTGATGGAAGAGAGGCAGTGTTCTTTCTGCGGCGCATCAAAGATATCGTGGAGGATCCTCGCAGGCTTTTGCTTGACATATAATTTGGATGGAGTAAATTAAACCTCAAAATTCAAATAGCATAATGGGTACCCATTTGTTTGGCTTTTGAATTGCGGCTGCCCGTAATTTATAATCTCTAATGAGCAAACTCTTTAGGATCATACTTTCCGTTCGATATTATTCAGCATGTTTGTGTTTTTTCTGCTCACTATTCCTCTCATTTAATATGAAGAGGGTCACAGTTTTTTGCTCCAAAATTGTATGAAAAAACCCTAAACCTGAAGTAATAATGCGATTTCTTTTCCATCGCACTGTATGCTGCAGTATTTTTATTTTATTTACCCGATGAAATTTCAGATACATCTAATAATTTGTTATCCAAATAATTCTGCCTAAAGCACCACCGTAATTAATTTTGTTACAACTCCTGTGTTATGTTCAACACGGCACAAAATTTCAGTTTACCAACCATCTTTTTGAGCTGTCTACGAGGGAGCAATTTTTACAACGGATGCAAGATCTAGCCAGGCCTTTACATTTGCTGGTCCTGCCGGGAAGCTGGTGAATGTGATGTTAAAAGAGTTCTTAATGGGTAAATCTCGAATAAAACTATCACCATTAATTGAAATCTACCACATTCAAATGAGCTCCAATACTATAAGTTTTATTGTATCGCCTATTGATTGATTGATAAGATTGTGTAAAATCAAACAGATTCCCATACCAAGATTGAATCCATATTACTCTGGAAATTTGACTGGTTAATTTATCAACTGCAAACGACCACTTTGGGGTCACGAAATATCAGATGCAGGCAACAATGTCTGAATAGGCTTTTGTGGTCCTTATATTTGTTTGGACTTTTCAATGTCTTAAAAGGTTTCAATTTGATTCCAATTTTATTTAAAATGAATTTGTAGTCATATATGTTCAATTCATGTTAACTCGGTTGAGAGGAGAGTGGCAATGTCACACAACAGACATTCAACATGGCAGAGAAACGGAAGAGACCCGTAACGGTTCCGTTTCCACAACTCATTAAGGTACTCTATGTTTTCAGATAACATTTAATCTGTGCTCAATACCCACACTTTAAACAAAGTTTTGTGCAATAGAAGCGGTAAGTTAGTTAGATTCTAGGATTAAACTTTATGTTTACGGCAATCCTAAATTTTGAAAGCGGATCATGTTCAAAGGTCTCCAGTTATCAAGGGAAGGTTACATAGGGTGTGTTTAGGAAAACATTACTGTTAACATAATCCAAGATTTTCTCAACACACCCATATACTTGCTTCTTAATTTTCAATTTCGGTGCCTTGCAAATGGAAAACCAAACATGGGTATAATCTCTAAGGAAAACTGAAGATGAGGATTTCTTGTTGGCCAATTTCAGTTTTATTCTGATCAACCGAGTTGCCATTGTTTGCTCTTGTCAAAAGTTATCCTGAACCTCCTTCGATCTCGGAAAGAAAAGCATGGCATAATTCTTTGCCCAATCTCACAAGTCTCCAAAACTAGCTTATAACCACATCTCCAAGTCAAAATCAAGAATTCATTTTTTTTACCTGCTCTCATCTTACGTTCACCACACAAATCAAGGTTTAAGCAATTACACAAAGATGATACAACCTTTATTCATGCTTTTGATTACCCAGATGGCATTAACCTTAGTATTATCTTTTGCAAATCCAATTCGAAAATTGGTGGTGAAGGGTCTAGACCTTTCGAAGCAGGGAAGGGGCCCCTTGGTTACAAAAACTGTGGCAGCAACCATGCTTGTGGTCTTCAGCTCCACCGTGTATACAATAACCGAAATTAAAAAGCGTATAAAGGATACTGGCATAGTTAATCCCACTGATGAGGTTCTCATGGCATATCGTCTCTTGGAAGCATTTTTCTTGGGTAATTACTCCAAAAATCAGTTCTTTATTTGCTTACAATACCTGTTTTACTATCTTTGTTGCACTCAATAACTATGATTCTCGGACGGGTCTCTGAAGTGAACATAGATTTGCTTAGAATTTGTTTAGTATCAACGAACATAGATTTTCCTTTTGCCACTTCTTCTGGTATATTATTTGCAGAACATGTAAATTTTAACCCTTTTGATTATTTGGCAGGATTCTCTCTATTCCTTGGATTGGTTATCGACAGACAACATTATTATATCAGGGAGATTAATTTACTGAGGAGAAGCTTGGAAACAGCGAAAAAACAAAACCTCAGTCCTGATTCCTCAAAGAGAAGAGCAGCAGTGCCAGATAAATAGAACGTGAGACTGAGGTTGCACATAACCAATGTCCTGAACAGGAAAAATCTGAAGGAGACTATGAACTGTTGCATGTCCTTGTAGGAATGTTCAACACTCAGAATTGAATCGAGCATACGTGTATAATTGTTCTAATTGTGTCTGTGTTCATATTAATTATTTATTTTACTTTTATGTAACAATAATTACTGAATATAAGTAAAGTTTCACATTTGAATATATATGAGTGCTTCCATGAATGAGAAAAGCATACTGTCTATCAACAATACTTGAAATTGGTCTGCGGAAAATATTTTCTTCATGTTTAACTCTTCCTTTTGTTGAAGAGAAACTAGACGAGGTTTGATTTAACGGAGAAAATCAGAAATGTTGCGTGTCTTTTAACCGTTTCACTTCTTTATATGACCTCGGAAACAATATCATATGAACTTTGTCCCTTTCATACGAGAGATTTAATTTATAAACGATCGATATATTAACTTTAAAATGTCTTGAATATTTATATGATAATACTGTTAGTTCAGCCATTATCAAACCTTGATAATATGCTACAGAAGTTTTCTTCTCCACATAACATTAACACGGTTTTCTGCTAACACAGAAAACATCAAACCAGTATCATAGGTAACTGCAACATAACATCGTAAAATTCATACTAATATCTCGAAACGGAAGCAAACAGTTGCAGATGAAAACCTCAAATGCTTATTTTAAATAACAAGGATACAAACTTCCAACTATAGAAAGGGGTAACCATGAGACCCCATTTACAATCAATTACAACAGTTAATCCATTGTAGGTATCTCTGGCCCTGGAGATGGGAAAACTGGCACTGCCACCGGTGATTGTGATGGTGTAACCGTCACTGGTGATGGTGGTGGTGACACTGGTTTTGGTGATGCTGATGGTGACACTGGTCCTGGAGATGGTGAAACTGGGACTGGTGATGGTGACACTGATACTGGTGATGGTGACGGTGACACTGGCACTGGTGATGGTGACACTGATACTGGTGGTGGTGACGGTGACACTGGCACCGGCACCGGTGTCGGTGACGGTGACACTGGCACTGGCACCGGTGTTGGTGGCACTGGTACCGGTGTTGGTGGCACCGGTAATGGCACCGGTGTTGGAGGTACTAGAACTGGAGTTGGTGGTACTAGAAGCGGTAATGGTGGCGCTGGAAATGGCAGTGCTCGTGAAAAGGCACATACTCCAAATATGCATAACCTTCCAACAGGGCATACATTTCCACACGCCCCACAGTTGTAAATGTTGATTAATGTGTTTACGCACAAACGGCCGCAGCATTGACGATTGAAGGGGCACCTATAATTACATACCCCACAGTTATCGTTGTCTGAAGTCACATCCACACAACGGTCATTACAGCACAAAAACCTCGGAAAAAGCTCTCCTCTGCTACACATCAATGGTCTTCCAGCACATCCAGTGATTTGGTTAGCATCTTTCTCCATCAATGATGTGGGCTCAATGCCATTTTCATGCACTTCTTTTGGTATTGGGTTTCCCTCTATTCTGATCAAGAACAGCACCAACACCAACATCAAGAGAGCTGAAGATTGCACTTGCAGACCCATCTTGAGGAAGTGGTTTCAGACTTGAAAAGGGTAGAACTTTGGAGCCAATATATAAGGGTTTATTACGTGAAGTTGCTTTTCTAAGAAGCCAAAGGGGCGTGTTTTTCTAGCATGGTCTCGAGTTATGGACGGTGAACGTTGTCTAAACTTGTTTTTATTATTTGAAGGGAAGTTTTGTCAGCTAGCTCTGTGATTTTTGCATTACGGGTTGGCAGGCTTAACGCTTTTACGTTGATTCATTTTAAAAATATGGTACTTCATCACTAACGTGCGTGACTTGGGCATTATCATGCTCTATCTTAAACCATGAAACTGCTACGTTGAAGGGAAGTAGGTCACATGAAAATGGAAATACCTTCTGAAAAGACGGTGATAATTAATGTTAGTAATGGTTTTTGATCATCAATGCTTTAACCTGAAGTCATTAGCGTAATGATGATAATTGATGTTTGGGTTAAATATGTTTTTAGTCCCTAAACTATTGGTCGTTTCTGATTTTCGTCCCTCTTTCAAAGTAAGGTACAATTTGGTCCTCATTCTTTTCGAAAAGTTCGTTTTAGTCCTCGGAATTTTGGTTTTAGTCCTCATTTGTTGCTAAATGAGGACCAAATTTTTAAACCGTGTTTAGTTTTCGAGGACTAAAACGAACCTTTCGAAAAGAATGAGAACCAAATTGTACCTTACTTTGAAATAGGGACGAAAACAAGAAACGACCAATAGTTTAGGGACTAAAAACATATTTAACCCTTTATGTTTTCGTATTGTAAGAAGATTAAATTAAAGAATGAAACGCGCTTTTGACTTTAAGCAGAATTTGAGAAAAGTTTAACTGCAAAAAATTGGCCAGTTTCCTATGGGAACACTCTTCTCATGACCAGTTGAAGTCCTCGTGACTACCATTTTTTGGAGTCTTATTTGGCAATGACGATTCTATCACGAAAATATGTCACGGTAAGCAAATTGGAAATAGTTTGAGGGAAATTTTTCTAATTTTAATTGCAGATACATTGGTATCCTTTTGGAATGTTTCATATTTGGCGCATATTTGAAGATATTCTGTGACAGTCAACACCACCAAATTTACGATGCAAGGAGTTTAAATGCTCACTGATTCCAAATCATTTATTGCTTCATTATAGTGCATTAATTACTAAACGCATTTGGGTGTTCACGTTTCCCTTCCTGAGATGAGTATTTGCCTAGTCCAAAAACTTAGAGAAAACTTGAAATGAATTACTAGAAAACAAAAGTTCTACTGTGTGAGGACCACGCTCAACGGGACCATAACTGATTTCTTGTACTATAACATAAGAATAACAGTGTACAGTATGGTCGAGAAGTCAAAAACCTTTCGATTTTATAATAGATAATTGGTGGACCGATCGAAGCCTACAGAAAAATTAGAAACGACAATAATTACATTAACCTAACATCAAACTATTATTATTTGAATTGTAATTAGAACAACAAGTGCATCCTGAACTTTATAAATACAGTATATTTAAGAAGTTGATTACTTTTACTGCATATTTATTATTACAAAATTCAGACAAACATTGATTTTAACATCTAAAAATCTGAAATTGTTTACTTTTACTGCATATTTATTATTATAAAATTTAGGCAAACACTAATTTTAATATCAAAGTATTTTATGCAAATAATGTTGGATCTATCAAGACCTTTCCAACCATGAATAGCCTTTTCTAAGGGTAGTTCATCTTAACAAATCATTATGCAAATAATGTTGGGTCTATCAAGACCTTTCCAACCATGAATAGCCTTTTCTAAGGGCAGTTCATATTAACAAATCATTGACTCTGATATTAGAATACTAATGAAATCTGAATCAAACCAAACGAGGAATCATCATCTATTTTTACCCAAAACCTTAAAGTAGTGAATTAATGAGTCTTTTATCTTTATATAATGTTTTACTTTTTCATTTCTATCCCATGTTAAACTTAGACTCACGTTTAGATTTCCAATAAATAACACTTAACTTGACTGAATAATAGAAACTGAACAATAGAAAGAGGACTAAAGATAAAAATTTGAACTAAGATTATAACTTAGAGACTCTTTTGTGAAAGAAGACTTAACCTCTACCCAAATGATACTTTTATACTCATTTATACATAATATAAAATGAAAATAATTATAAAAAAATTAATGTTTATATTTTTTTAGAAAAAAGTAAAAAAAAAATAGTCTATAATAAATGTAAAAAAAAAAAATTATGGGTCAAAATATCATTTCTGATAACATATTTCAACATAAAACTCAAGTACAATGAATTTCAACGTACCCCTTAATCATATTCAACTATTCTATCAAAATCACACAATCTACTATTTAGAATCAATTTTATCAAAATCTAAAACAATCAAACACAGCTCTGCACACCCAAGAGACATTCAGAATATCATTTATTAATATACAAACATAACACTTATTACATAGTGAAGCCCGAAATACAGCAAGTGAAAGTTTCATTCTGGAGAATTCAAGCTGCAGTTTGATTTAGCCCTGAACAAACAGATACCTGAATTTATTATTTCTTGCAGCATGAAAGCCACAAGAGACAGTCAAGTCAAGCATATTACCATACACCCAAATCACCAACACTACTCAGGTGAGTAGTTATTTCATCGACTTCCACATGAAAAAAGGTAAATACACAAAACACATGACCTTAATGCTCAAGAACAACACAGTACTACAACTTAAACGGTGATATAATAGTTCAGCAATTATTCTTAGAATGCTGCAGATTCCATGAGTTTTGTTCATAGTAGTAGAGCCTTGTTACTGTAGAACAACACATTCTTTTGAACCAGCTACCACCACAGTAGGGTGTGCACTTGAGCTGACTGCATCAACTTCCTTGTCACCTTCAACATTATCGTCCAATTCACTGCAGCCAATGGCTTCAAAAATAAGGTCGTTGACCTCTTGGAACCTCTCTTCGGAGAGGGATACCTCAGCAAGAAGCCTCCAAGCATTGCCTTCAGAAGCCTCATCATAATCCTTCTTCCTCTTTAAAACCATGTGCCCACTAATTTCCCACACAGCAGGGTTAACTTGGGTGTCAAGAAGCTCAGCATCCACTTCTCCAAGAGCTTGTTTCTCTGCGTAACACTGTTAACATATTTGGTAAATACACCCGCACAACCAATGAAAATAGATTAGGAAAAGGAAAATTCATTTAGTTTCAGAGTTAGTTTACCTGTGGTAACAGAAAGACTTGCTTTCCACAGTCAGTAATAAGAACATTGAACGGTATATTACTGTTTTGAAGACATATACAAGCATCTGAAACAGCATTTGATAAATCTTCCAGAGTATCTCCACCCTCAAAGACAAGACCTCTAACAGGATACTTCAACAGTTCAGATATCTTCACCCCACCATTTAAATTTGCAATTTTCTTGGTGGGGGCCTTCTCAATGGGAAAGGGCAGAGCCAAATAGTAAGCCTGCGTATATTCATGTAAAAAAGTCATCAAATTTCGATCTGATTAATGGCAGAGTAGTGTTGAAGAACAAAAACATCAACACGACCAACAAGTGCTAATTCAGTAACCAGTACCTGGAAGTGAAGATGGTTAATAGTTGCAAAAGCACCCAAGCTGTTGTAACCCAATCGAAAATATGGATTATCAGCTTCCACTGCCATGTGAAGTGCAAGCAGGAAGCTCTCACGGTCAATCCTTTGGGGCATACACTCAAATATGCGCGGAATCAGCAAAACATGCCCATACTCAATAGGACTGACCTGTTAAGAAAACAAACAGACAAACAAACATCTTCACATGCAATGCCTATGAACCCAGAAGAACAATTTTAAGGTTGGTATCCATACATTGATGGCAACAAAACTGGGAGAATTATCAACATCAACTGGAGCATTTGGGAAGAACTGGATTTTTCCGTCGTCGCTAGCTTCAAATTGGAAGATGACCTCTTCTTGCCCAACTTTCGTAAAGTTGAATTTGTTTTCATCGAATGGTTGCAGAACCTTATCAACTCGGAATTCAGTTGGTCTCTTCTTGAGGTGACGACCCTCATTAAGCTGAGCAACGAAACCATATTCACCAGGAATCACCTACACCAAAGTCACCACAAAACACATCACAGTCATAAATCATACCACCCATATCTATGCAGAGAAAGACAGAGAATTTAGAAAAAGGAAAACAAAGCGAACCTTGGTTTCACAGGCAGTAACATCATAGCGGAAAAGTCCTCTCTGCATGCGTTCTTCCCACTGCCATGAAAAGTAAACAACACTTTACAACAAAGGGTACAGAGAAAAACATCATGTTAACCGTTCTCCATCACCAAAATTCCATGGTTACCTCTCCAAGAAGAAGCGAGTCCAGGAATGCCACGGGAGGCTCCCCGCATTCATGCATAGCCAAATCCTTTCCATTAACCTTCTTAAAAGCATACAGAGGAAGTTTTGCATCTGTAAACAAAAACAAAGACACAAATCACAAAAAAAAAAACATATATGATACCTGGATCCAACTCACTGTAGAGGATAAAGTCAGATATATATCATTTGTTGATAAGAAAATCAATTGTGAAGATTATAAGTATATTCATAATAACAAATCGTGAATATATTAAAATATGAACCGTTCATTTTCTTTTCAACTACCGCCACTAGATACATGTTTGGATGTTCCAAAGTCAGTTTCGTAACCCGTTTGCTTACCTCAAAAAAATGTTTCCATACTAACTTTTTCTGAAAAAAAAAAACTCAGGTCTCTTGTTACAAAATTTCAATTACTTTCCCAAACTTTAGTTTGACTCGTCAAATCTAAATTCGTAAACTTTATTTCATGCATGCAGCAAGTAATTTACCCTCAATCCTTTTAATACAGCCAATTAATTTAACATATAACATAAAAGCAGACTAATAACAGTAATGAAAATCAGTTGGAGCAAAAGAAAGACCTGGAATGCAGCAAGCTTTGAGGCAATTCCGACCACAACCTCCGACGGGACGAGAAGAGTCCCCAGCATCATCTTTTTGGTAGTTGGAAACGACAGTAGGAACCCTCTTGATTTTGAGCATCATTTTGTGAAATCAAAGAAGAGAAAGAAGAAGAAGAAGAAGAAGAAGAAAGAGCGAAAGTGTTTGTGTGTGTTTTGTTAAAGCAGTTGACTAAGTAGAAGAAAGGAGAAAGAAGAAACTAGCAGGAGGAGGAGAAACCGCCACCGGCGAGGAAGAGGAGGTCGGAGGGACTACCACCTTCTGAAGGCAGCGCACCACGCCCACCGTGCGGCGAAGGGTTGGCGAGAATTATGCAACCCGCCCGTCGTACAGTTGGGACATGAATGAGAAAGCGATAGACTCTTAGAATAGCCGTGATGTCTGCAACGCTTCAACCCCGGGTTTCAACCCAATCCCCTCTTCTTTCTCTTTCCCTTTTCTCGATGATTTCTTCAACATGCAAACTTCTCTCACTTAGATTCGATGAAGCTTGTGACTGTGAGCCAGAAAAAGGAGCTGCCTTTCTTCTTATATAGATAGATAAGACTTATGAGTTAAGAACTGCGAGAGACCAAAGTGAAGAAAAAGAAGAGAGAGAAAGATGGTTGAATCTAAGTGTTGTGTTGTGTGTTGGAAGAAGTATCTATGGATGAATGAAATAGCAGAGAGTGAGAGAGAAGAGACAATAATTGAAAGAGAAACGGTGGTTTCGTTGTTTTGTATGTTTTTGGTTTTTCTTCACATTATTTAAGTAAGAGCAGGACCATTATTTGAGCACTCCTGCTTCCACGAATATTCCATTACAGAATCTTTTTTCTCCCTCCTCTCATCCTTAATTTTAATCTCAAAACAATTATCTTAATCTTTCTTTTCAAATATCTTTTGCTATTATTTAAAAAATAAATTCACATAGGCCATTGGATAAGATATTTTATCATGACAAAATAATTTTTTACCTAAAACATTTGTCGTTAGTTTACCACTTTAATGGAACTTTTTTATTTATACTTTTGTACTAGCCTCCGGTTAGTAAGGAATAGGATGGTACCAACCCTAAGGAATATTCAATAAATCTAGTAATTTTAAAAAATAATGAGTATTGATGATAATTATTTTAAACTAAAATATGATTATTACTTATTTAATTTAGAAAATATTAATTTTAAATCTATTTTGAAATCTATAAATATAAATTTGAAATATTTCAATAGATTAATTGTATTTATTATAAAAAAATTAAATCTTTGTTAACTTTAATATGGATATCTTCTATAGATAATTTTTTAATATAATTAAACGAAGTGAAAACAAAGAATTGGACCAACAAAACTTAAAAGAGAATTAATCTTAATCTCATAAATTGATTTTATTTTTTTTAAATATCAATTTTGAACTTTGTAAAACTGAAAGCAAACTTTTTTAGATTTCATTTAAGAATTTCGTTAAAATTATTAATAAAGATTAGACATTATTAAATTATGTATTAAGTTAGTTCTATAAAGTTTGTGTATGCAGCTTCCCTATGTATATGAATCCAAATTCCATTATGTTTGGGAAAGAAGTTTTTAATTATTGTCCTTCTTTGACTACAACAACACCATTGTTTTTGGTCTCCTTCCTGCCACCAAATCCAACCCCACCACAGTTCTTTTTGCTTAATGAGATTCAATTCTCACTTGTTTACTATATAATTAAATATCATTTTAATCTTTCATATTTCATTTTTTATCTTTTAAAAATTTTAATGTTTCAAATGATTAATTTTATTTTTGTCTTGCAAGTCATATTAAACCTCGACTTTATAATTTTGACATTTAAATTTATTTATTTTTAATATTTTTGAAAAGTTATATTTTATTTTTTGTGATTGGTATGTATTACATCAGCATTAAAATGTAGAGAAATACACTTTATTAACAAAAGATCATATCATGATGACATCATAGACATTATAGCATCACAGTTACATCATCATAAATAGCTTACTAGAATTAGTCTCAATTAGCTTATTCGACCTACAACTTAAATAGCTTAAGAATTAGTGTCAATTAACCTATTTATTAGAATGCCCAAAAGTTTTAATTTTAAGAAAATTAATAAAAACACAAGAAATTCAAACTTTTAAATTATATAAATTGTTTACATAAAACTTCTTTTTTAGAATGGATGTAATTGTTTTCCCATGTAAAATTTTAAATTTCATGTGAATTTTAATAAAAACTTTATAAAATTTAAAATAAAGAGTCTATCAATAATAAATAAAGAATTGACACTTTCAAATAATATATATATATATATATATATATATATATATGTATATATATATATTCTCTTTTGAAAAGATTTATAGAGAAGATTTAATATTAAAGAAATTTAAACCACATCTACATAATAAATTATCTTAATTCATATGATTATCTTAATTCTATTATAACCGTTCTGTTATTTTGAAGGTTAATAAATAATTATGAACTTTATTATTTGTAATAGATATATAAATTTATATTTTTTATCCTTCAACGATTTCCCATATAATGATGTATAAATCTTGGGTTAATTTTAATTTTCATAAACTGTTGATAGGTGACTTGTGTAACGTGTTCTAATACAAGTTGTAAAGTCCAACTAGAACATTATAATACTATTTTTTATTATCATTTAATAATGTTATTTAATGTTAAATTTTAATTAAATGTATATATTGTATGCTATATTTAAATATTAAATATATTTTTTATATTTATAAATGTTATTATTTTGTTTTTGTTTGTTTATTGTTTTAAATTTGTCTTACATTTTCTTTATTTTCAACTTTTTTTAATATCACGAGACATTGATATCTAAATAATATTATTAGGAAAAAATTGTGTAGTCTTGTGAGACATGATGACATCAAACACGATCATGATATTATATCCAATTAAATTAACTAATCATAGGTAATATTTGATTGCTGTAAATTGGTTATAAAAATATGATAAAATACGTACATATATTCATGCCATCATTGTGGTAACTTATTAAGACTTTCTTGATTTTTGGTACTGTATTTTTTATCACTAATTTTTTTTTTTATCTTGAAACTTTTGTAATAATATATTTCTTTTAGTTTACTTTTATTTTCCGATTAAAAACATTTAATGAATATTTATATAACTTTTATATTCGATAAAAATAAAAACATAATAATAAATATAAATTTTTACTAAAAAAAATTAATAGTAACCATTGAGAAACTAAACATAACACGAACTTTCGCAACAAGTAACTATTTATGTACGTGACCTAGTCAAATGATGAGTCTGTTTGGTGCACTATAATTACACTAGAATATTCTAGATTAGCATTATTGTTATTTTATTTTTCATATTCATCCTTGATAGATAAATAGATTTATTTACTTATCTTCATTATCAAATATAAAAATTTATCAGTAGTGAAAATAATCTCCTATATATAAAAAAATAAGCTTACATTTTAAAATTATAACGAGTGAAAATAAATTTTTAAGGTCTATTTTTTTATTAGTTTTTGATACAAGATTAGTTACGTCACACACACATTATTTTTATAAAAATTTAAATATTCAGTAAATTAACTATTTATTTCAAAAAGTATTACTGATTAAATTTATTTTACCAAAAGTTACAAAAATAAACGTAGAACATGTATTAAATTAAATGTTAAATATGTTTTTTATCTTAATATTACTATAAAAATTTCCATTTTATTTTTAAACTACGATATAAAATATTTAGTCTCGCATTTTAAAAAACAAAAGGCTTGTGGAATATTATCTGAGTGAGAAATCACATGCTTTTGTTAGAACTAATATTTTACATAATCTTCACAAAAAACAGAAATAAAATATTTGATAATTTAATTTAAAAGAAAAACTTAATTTTTGATACTAATTTATAAGATTTAAAAATGAAAGCTTTAAGTAATGACATAAACCAAATTGATCTAGATGGCAGGAAAAGTAGAAGAAGGTGTTGATAATTTGTATGTAGCAGTCTCTGTCAAAACCTTTCTCAACCAATCCAAAAGCACATGTAAACTTGAAAAGGAAGAAAAAAAATGAGGCGTTATAATAAACACACGTACATGTTCTCTAATGCACAACTATTCTTAATTATTTTAATGTAGAAATGTGATATTTTGTGGACAAGGATTGTCTATAGTGAAATTTGGAAAAAAATATGTGGCAACCTAAGCACATGGAAGAAGGTCTGAAATTTGTTCATTTTTAGGAAGAAACAGAAAAGTAGAGTCCATGAAATTTCGAGGTGAATGAATGAGTGGTCACAAAAATATCACTTTCGCTGCTCCTTTCATCTCCCCACAAACACTCTCCACACACTTTAGGCCAAATTCTCCTTTTCATTACTTTAAACTCAAATTTACACTACCAACAAAATTGCATTTAATTATGGGACGATTGGCTGTTTCTGGTTTTCGTCCCTGTTTCAAAATAAGGTACAATTTGGTCCTCATTCTTTTCGAAACGTTCGTTTTAGTCCTCGCAATTTTGGTTTTAGTCCTCATTTGTTGCTAAATGAGGACCAAATTTTTAAACAGTGTTTAGTTTTCGAGGACTAAAACGAAAATTTTGAAAAAAATGAGGACCAAATTGTACCTTACTTTGAAAGAGGGACGAAAACCAGAAACGACCAATAGTTTAGGGACTAAAAACATATTTAACCCTTTAATTATAAGATAATGATATTTGACAACATTTTAACATTATCTACGTGTCATTCTGTGATTGGTCCATATTGGTATTTATGATTATTATTATTGATTGTGGAATAATTTTGGACCAATTACATAATGACACGTAGATGATATTAAAATGTTAGTTAAAAAATATTGTTAAAGTATCATTATCTTAACTATAGTTATACAGTGTTTTTCCAGTGATTTTAATCCATATGTAGTTTATCTTTCTTTAAGTAACACCAGTTTGTTAACATGATAGTTTTTATTAATTTTTGAAACAACGAAATTTATTTGTAATTTAATAACTTGTAATTACTTATCAAAAGAATTTGTATTCTTTAATAAATGCATCGTCCTGTCAACCTAAGAGTAAACTTAGGTTTAAATGACCAACCACCTTGCATACATAACTACCTATTTCAAGATTAAACTATTGTAATTTATGAACGGAACATGATGATGACATTTAATACATATCACTTACTATAATTATTGGATTTTTATTTACTCAAATAACTTTTTGTATGTAACCTTTTAATTTGAGTGAAGGAGATTCTAGAATCAAAGACAAATGCTCAAATACTATAATATAATAAGCAGATATCTTTGATCCCATAATCGAAATAATAAAAATATAATTGAAAATAAAAATCAAAATAAACATCACTTAATTTACATTTAAGCTACATATTGACATGAAAAATCTAATCTTCTTTATTTAAACTAGTAAAATATGTATATTAAACTTTTTTATATAATAAAAATAATAAAATTATAATTATAAAATAAATGTAGAATTATAATTTTCTTATAGTAAGTTTCGTTTATTTTGTAAATAATATTTTATTAAA